CGAGAGGGTGTGCTAACAATAGGATCGCGCTCGAAGGAAATGCAAGGAGCAGGCAGAATCCTTAGCCATGTAACGAACATTTGCTCTGGGGTACTTGAGAATATGGACGGAGAGAAACAGACGAAGGGGCGCTGCCGAAGGGGGATGGGGACAGGGCGGGGGAGCTGAGTGCCGAGGGAAGTGGTCGAGTCTCGTGGATGCGAATTCTCATTAGTGCTCTCTCTTCGCTTCTTCCGTGAACTCAGATAAATTAACTAATATTTGGATTTCGTGGCTCGCTTGTTTCCATGTCTCCTTGTTTGTTCACACGTTCAGTAATAACCTTCATATGCCAAGTAATTTCCACGAGGGATTGTTTTAGGGTTATTTCTATTCAGGAAACTCGTGATGAATTTTAAACGAAAAATTATTCATTCTCATTGTTATACTAACACATTGCATGTACCCCAGGAAATGTGTGAATAATGGCATCTGTTTTTGCAAGTAGATGGCAAGCATTTGTATTCGAACGAGATATACGTTGACAAGACCTACCTATATAGGTACGCGAGATACACCCATGAAAAGGCCTGGGGTTGAGTAGTTTTCTTGCCATTTCTGTACTAATTTGAGATTAAGTAATATAGACAATTATTCTTTGGCGGAAAAATGAAATTCTTCGCTCAGAATAATACTGTTCTTCTGTCAAATTCCGGTCTAGTTACTTCAGCGTTTAGCTAGGCGGCTTCCAGAGCTCCAATGCACAGGTTTCACCCTATTCGAGTTCCCACGGAATTTTGGAGACGCAAAAATTCACATGAAGTGTCGCGTATTCATGTTATAGAACACTTATATATCACTAGAATATCCTCAAAAACGTCGTTGAAGTAAAGATGAGTCACGTCAGATATTGGGCTGACCAGGAGTGAACGAAACAGCTATCTCGCTGGTTTGGCAACCACCTCAAATGTGCATCAGACAATGATTGAACTTCCGAAAAACTGCGGAGACCGGTTACGCAATTATTATGTTGCGAAATTACAACTTTTTGGATGTGTCATTTTCCTTGTGCACCACACGTTCTATAACACAAATACACAATCTAAGAAACACGTCGGAAAGAATTTGTTTAGACATTTTATGATGAAAATAATTATAAAATATCCATCATAAAATGCCTAAACAAATAATAATTTCGGTTATAATAAACATTGCAGTACATTTTATGGCATCGTCGGTTCGTGAGTATATTTCAATCTTTCAGCCTTGATGTAATTATTTTTTAATTTTTTTCAATATGATCTCACATTCTGTTTAATATATATTTTATATTTTGTTTTATTTATAGATGTACTTTGAAAAATTGTTCAAAAAAATACCTGTGCTTGTGGATTTCACAAAAGAGGTTAGTTTATTTAATTTCAAATAATCAGGTTAAGTGAACAATACCCGTTTCCGAAATGTTATTTACAAAATTTGAATGTACGTTATATTGTCCTTGACAATTGTTTATTCACTTAATTATACCAATGTGAGCACATTCTCAAATATTTATTTGACTGTCAAAAACATCGAAATATACTGAAATAATTAATTAGTGTATCTAATGAGCGAAAAACTAAGAAATGTATAAGTATATGATTTTCTTTCTTCTAAAAACCGTACCTAAAATTCAAAGCCTAATCATATAAGAACTAATTTAAACACTTTTTTTCACAAACACGAAGACAAAAAGGATATTTAGTTCAGCCAATTGTGCGAGTTTTGACCCTGTACTAAGTGAGTGAATTGTCATACCAAAGTAAATATAGAGATGTCTCATCTGAATTAGGTAAGATCGAGCCGTACGCAAGTTTTGTTTCGAATAACTCGGCTAACGATGTTTGCTGTTCTCTGGCCTCAAAGAATGTATAAAGAAACTGGAATGACACGTATATGTCGTATGCCAAGATAATCCATTAGAGCGCCATAGATTACAGTCGCAAACGAAACACATTCCCCAACAATTTGTTTGAGAAATTCTATGAAGTAAAAGAACCTGAAAAGTTACAAATAAGTAACAAGTAACAAATGACAAAACATATTCGACTCAACCATTTGGAGTAAACAAATCATGAACCATCTAACATCTATAGGTAGCAACAGGCTCTAATAATTCGTAAATATCGTTCTCTGTGTCAGTTACATTATTTACAATTACGAATTATAATTTCTAAATATGAATCACAAGAATATATGTTACGGTGATAAGCGAATGAAAGACGACGTATCTGTGACGGAGATATGGTTTTTGTTCTCTCTATATATTTTATTTAGTTATGTAATTCCAGCCTTTAATTTCATCAGAGTCAATTTTTAGTTTTCCTGTTTTTTACTTACAAAGTTCATTTTACAAATTTTATTATATTTATCCTTTATAATGATCTACAGCGCTCTGATCGTTATCTACCATTCGAAGAATATGGAGATACTAGAGAGGTTAAACCGCGCTGCTTACAAATCAATAGTAACATTTGTCTTTTGCTACTGAGCCCCGTGGCAATCCTTCGTGTTGAATAAGTAAAGAAACTAGTTAAAAATTGTTTGTTTATAGACTAAATCGGAAATAGTTACAAAATAACTTTTTAATCAATACAATATTCAAGTCATTAAAAACACCACATAATTTAACAACGAAAACGTTTACTTTTGCAGAGAAATATTCAAGAAGACTGTATCACATTTTAGATTTCACAAATCACAGATTCAAAATATTGGTGCTTTTCACATTTTAATGAATGAAAAATTATTGCTTTCATCCTAAACAGTAATATCTTTTCCAGTAAAAAAAATTGTATCAGAACATTCATTAAATAATTCACACTGGCAGAACAATATTTGAAATTAGACAAATTAATGAAATTGAGTCTAAAAAACAGAATCATGGAAAAGAAACCCAATTGGCTGGTGCAATTTACGCAGATTACGCAATTTACTGAAAACGTCCAATTCCAAAAATGAACGCGTTGGAGGTGCTCAAAATCATTCTTTAAAATTCTCCGGCCTAACTGTCGCCTCTTTCAGAATATTCCTCCCGGACAGGTGGGCATTGCACGACGTTTTCGGGCCGGGCATTCCTGGAAGAACCGTCTCCCACGAAACCAGTTCGCTGCTAATACAATCGAGCCGTGCAATACAGAACGGAGCCGACGCGCTTTAAAAACTGTTCCGGTAAACATTTTGCGCGGGAAAAAGCTATTCAGAGAATGACGCGGGGCGACTGCGGACACCGAGCGACACTCAGTCCTCGTAAATTTTGCAGCTAACCCCGGGGCTGGCCGTGTCGCAATCCCGGGCTGTCCTGCACGCCTCCTGCCCACGCGCTCGCAACCCCTCCGCCGCCAGCGATCTGCGCTCGTCTCCCTGTCCCGCCTGCTGGCCTCGCCACCACCACCGCGTTCACCTCCCTCCCCCGCAACCGCCCTCGCGCCTCCGCCGTCTGCCCTCAGCAGCTGGACCCGTAACCTGACATTAAGTTAACGGCCTGGGACTCCCACGGAATCGGACGGAACGCTCACGGTTAATTGCCCTTAGTGTTACTGCGTCTTCTTACGGCTGAAAATAGGTCTGTTCTTTTAGCGGAAACGAAAGGAACGGAGAAAGGTGGATAACAACTTACGAAGATCCCAAACGTCTCGCCTTCCCGGCGTTTTATACCCGTCGCAGTTGCTCGTTGCGAAGGATCCTCTTGAACGCAGATTCAGATATTTTTTGTTAGCGAGTAATAAAATTCCCATATAATTTCGGTTCAAACTCATATATTTAATGTCAAATAAAACGAGTTTGTTATAACTTCATTAATAATCATAATCGATCGGTTGGTCATCAATCAAGCGATCGACCGCCGCGAGTCAATTCTAAGGA